CTGAATGGCAGCACAGCCTTCCGGTGTATCCACCACTCCTCCCAGTTTTGTGTCATCCGCAAACTTGCTGAGGGTACACTCTAACTCTTCATCCAGGTCATTGATGAAGAAGTTAAACAAGGCTGGGCCCGGTACTGACCCCTGAGGGACACCACTAGTTACCAGCCTCCAACTAGAGTCAGCGCCACTGATGACACCCTCTGAGTTCTGCCATTCAGCCAGTTCTCAATCCATCTCTTAAATACTTACAAATACTTTCCTGTCTTGGCTAAGAAAGTGACACCAATTTGAAGATGCTCCTTTGACTCTGGGAATAGAGGAAAAATCAGTAAAGAACAGATTAACTGCAGTCTGTAGTATGACTCATTAGGGTGTAAGTTAAATGTCTACCACATGGTCCTCCAAAAGCTCAGATATTACTATCTGTCTTCTGGCTTGCAAACTGTCTCCTGTCTGCCCCCACCCCCTTGCCCCCAAGCTCCCCAAAACCCCAACACCCCTCCAGAAAGCCCATAAAGGACCTCCAACAAATACTGTCAGATACGCTATGGAGAAAGTAGAACATCCAACTCCCAGTATACCACATTGCAAGTTAGCTTTATTCAAGTGAAAACAAATAGCCTAGTCTGATAAAAATATATTTGCTGGATTGTCTTTGTGCCTATCCTTTCTTTTAATTTTTTAAGGCATAGACCTGTGCCTGCATGTTTATCATCAGGGGTTACATTTAAACACCAGTCTTGGTAAAATATTTCTTTTAGTGGGTCTGTTGCATGTGTAATATGTTCTTTGATCCTAATGTGACAAAGTATTACTATGCAATTTTATATTAGCTGATAAAATACTCTACAAAATACGAAGTAATTTAATGAAAGTAAAATGCCAAACAAAGGAGGTCAAGGAGATGGTCTTTTCTGATAACGTGACTACGTGCACTTACCTGCCTAGAACAGGGAAGAAAGCAACTAGGTGAGAAGACCGTACAGTATCTGTGTGCAGTATATTTACCAGCCGATCCTCCTTGCCCCACGCCACCTCTTCCATCAAACATTCTCTGAGAGCCTGAGCCTTCACCTGAGTTGTCTTCTCCCACTGCACCTTCCCTGCAAGGGTAAATTAAACTTTCCATTCTGGTCATACAGCTCAAAAAAAAAAAAGAGTTTGAATAATAAGAGATGCATAAATATTTTGTCTGTTGTCGTGTGTGGCTCAGCTTTAGCAGAAATTCTCAGTTCTGTCCTCATGTCCTATGGCACTTGCCTGAGCTTAGTTTTCATTGCACACTTCTGTGTAGGATGTAACAGGAATGAGGGATCTCTTGTATTCATCAGCTTTATATTTTGGTGCTTCCCAATGTATCTCTTGCCTTCAGGCCAAAGAGTTTGTCCTGTGAATGTCTTCTTCATTCTGTGCTTGTATAGCATTAAGCATGGTGGAGTTTTAATCAGTACACATAGTGTTTCTCAACATTTCTTGTGGTATCGTAGTCAACATTACATTCAGTGTGTTGTAGCTGCTGCACATAGGAGAGAAACTTGTTTTAAACAAGTTAATAGTTATGGGCTTATAATGCTCACTTCTGTCTTGTAAGCAGGTCTGAAATGCCTGGACATGAGCTTTTTATCAGTAAGTTTCTAGTAACCAGTACCTTTTGACTGACTATAACTTGCGGTGTTTAAAACACTTAGAAGCCATGCCTAGTGTGCATGCTTTGTGGTAGCTAAATTTCAGTGAAGCTTGGTGGCACTATGTCTTTCCACCAGTCCTCCAAGTAAGGAATATTGCTTCTGTGGAAATGGACTTCAAATCTGGCAGTCACTAATATTGCTGGCTTTATTTAACTCAGCATGAGGTTACTTTTTTCACAGATACAAGAGCCTGCTTTCAAGAAAAATGTTACTGCCATATTCATGCCATTCATTAACTTGGCTTACCAATATTTCTGTGGCTTAAAGTTTTGAGAATGTGCCCAGGTGCAATGGAAGTTATTGTGAATACGTTTACAAATCTCCTGCAACTTCAAAGTCTATTAGAAACTGTGGACCAGGTGCTGCATACCTTGTTTCTCACTTACAAAATATAGTTATTTCTGAAAGGTATCACTGATGCTATTGTAAGATCCTGTAATGGATACACAGAAAATCGGGATCTTTCTACAGACTGCCAACCCTGTCTTCATTCCTTTGTGTGCTCAGTTCAGGATGCAGCAGTGAAATGCTCTGCTTGGAATTATCGCCCTTTACTCTGTATTTTGTTAGTCTTAAAGGCAAATCTTAAAGTTCTGCTCAGCTGCAATGTTCAGCACTCCAGAGATGATTGCCAGAGGAGCACAGCAAGCTGTTTTACAGCAAGAGCAATTCTAATCTTGTATTCCAGAACTAAGCATACTTGTCCTCCTTGGGTCTTCCATAATCCTGATCACAGTAGGTTTGTATTTTTCAGTGCTTAGTCTCCAGATACATTTACAGGTATAAAGACACTGGGAATGGTTTTTTTGGATGATGACTTCATTTACATTTGTTTATAGCTACTATTAGAACACCAGGACGCTATTGCCACTGAGCCGAATGACCTGCTGAATGAATTGCTGGAAGGGCTGGGACCTGTTCCCGATGTAGAGTCTTTCCTTGGTATGCCATTCTTCATCTTTATGGTTGACTTCACTGTAGAGGCAGAATTAAATGGGGACTTGATTTAAATACCCTCATATCTCTCATAGTGACAGCTTCTTAAACTACAATAGAATTCTTTTCTGAGGACTTTTTATAACATCACTCCCTGTAGCTGAAGTTTCTTCTAACTGCAATATTCATTCTAAAGATTCATTATGTGATTCAAAATCCAAACATTAATAATGTTTCGAGCAGAATGATCCAGTTGTGCTCAAACTGCAGATGGAAAACCAGTGATTTTTAATAACCTTAAGATTCACTAGTGTTTTTGCTAGAAACTTACAAAAAAGTGCATGGAGAATTCTTAAAGAAAGCCATTTTTATTTTGACAATTATCCAATTAAAAATGAAGGTTTTAAAATGATGCAAATTTATTAGGAAATTATAAGGAATGTGATGGATATTTAATTGGCCTTAATTGTAGTAAGGTGTGAACTGTCTAGAAAGTAGCTAGGATGTCATGGATAATACTGTCATTGAATGTTAAGACAAAAGATGTTAAATTGTTCGTATTCTTCTTTGAGAAGATATGTAACCATCTTGCATATATTTAGCTTGAAAAGTGAGAATCTGCGGCATTTCCAAAATAATCTAACTAGGCTTATGAGTAGCTGGCTTATAGTTTTGATTGTTCAATGTCCCAAAAAGACTGTTTCTAAACAGTAGGAATGGGTGTGCTATTTAATAAACTTAATATTGCTGATGATTTACAGTTATTTATCTAGGTTCTTGTTTACTTCATGAATTGAATCATGGGAAAGCTGGCAAACTTGAAGTAAAAGATGTTTCGTTACAGGGGAAGGAGCTGTTGATCCCAACGATCCCAACAGGGAAAGCACGCTGAATCAACTTGCAAAAACAGAGATTTCACTGTCTCTGACAAGCAAATATGAGTTACGAGAAGGTGAAGATCAGGATCTCAAAAGCCTCATGATAAAGTAAGTTTTGCTCAAAAGCCTACATTCTGGCGATGCTTTTTGTTTGTGGTCTTTTTGTTGGTTGTTTTCTTTTTTTTAAAAAAACAAAGTTGCTTCCACCCTGCTGCCCGACCTAGATGCGTTTTTGAGGTGCTGCGTACACTCAGTTTTCAAAAGCCAGCTTGTGTTCAGTCCTACTCAAAGTTTTGCAAAAGTCAGAGAAATTGTCAGTTCTTCCAGAAACCTTACAGATGAACAGACTGCCACTTGTGTTTTGGACAGTGACTGGATCATTATGAACATAGTAAGTGCTTTTGATGATGCTGTAAAAGCATTCTGCTTTAAAACAGCACAGCCTTGGGAAAGCAGAGATGAAAAGCTGTGTATCCTTGTAAGGGACGGACAGTATCACACTGTCTTCTCCTCCCCTCAGCTTTTATCCAGGGAAAGAAAATGATGTTTATTCTATTTGGTGAAGAAATTAAGAAATGGCTGCTGGGATACCCTGGGATATAAGTTAGTTTAGAGTCAAAAATATTTTTATGAAATCACTCAGTATCAAACTATTAGCACCCTCTTTTGAAGTTATTTCAAGCTGTCCAGAAGAATTGGCTTATTTAAGATGCTGGCCCTTCCTGAACAAGGGGGAGAATGGGATGCTACTCTCCTCTATTACTATCCTTACTTTTACCCCACAAGTGTGAAAGTTCGAAGTTCACTTTAAAGGGAAATACAGTATAAGTATTTTACACCTTTGCAAGCACTAGGAGCAGAGATACAGGCTGTAATTCACCTCTAATTATTGGTATTTTTTTTTCAAATCAAAAAATCAGTAAACTGAATTTATTAGTTAATATTTCAGATTAAATTTGAAGAAAGTTCTTATCTATAATGTCTGTAGTAAGTAGTGTAATTTCTACAAAAGCCATAAATGGCCATTTAAAGTCTGGGGGGGAAAAAAGAAATATAATTTTAAGCGCAAGAAAACTCTTACTATTTATCCCAAAAGGAAGAGTTTTTCTACTGTAATTGTGTATATTTGATCTGAATCTTAAACAAGAAAATATCGACATTTTTCTGTAACTTGCTATCAAATATGATTTGAGATCTAAAGTAAAGGGACTGCAATGACAATTTCAAATGAAAACTGTGTTGGTCACTTGGTATTCCAGAGATCAAGGCTTCAGAGCTGTTCCCAAGCTGGTTTCGTAATATGGATATGTCTGCTACTGTCCCTTTAAAAAAAAAAGTGCTTCCTGTTCTTTTTTCCTCTGTGTAGGAGTAAATGCTACCTCTTAATGGAATCTCTAAAAATATGCAAAATCAAGGCCAAAACAAACGCCTTTAGTCCTCCACACTGTGTGGAAACATGTTGAAACAATAGCATGAGAATTAACAAAAGAATTTAACTTCTCTGTTGCGTAAGTGCTTTCAAGTAATATTTCTTATATTTTGATGAAACTTAGTAAATAATATAACAGAACAATAATGAGCAATCTGTTTTAATTTGCAACAATATTGAAATTTCAGATACATACTGCTACCTTTTACACAAGAGATGTGTAAATACAGATGCTTAGCTTTCCTACCTTAGCTGCAGAGAAGTCTCTTACTGCAACTGTGAAATTTTAGCACCTGGCTAAAATTCAAGTCGCAGCTGACTCACTGGATGTTCCTTGTTTCTCTGCAAGTGACATTCCTCTTCTGCAGAACTATCAATATATCTGCTTTTCAAACATTTTTGTTAAAGCTTCTGTGAAGAACCCTGAGATTTGCTGGGACCCCTGTCTAGAGGACTCTGCGTAAGGTGGGCAGGTGCTGCGTGCCAAGTGGCAGGTGAAAGGGGAGGCATCCAGTCCCAAGTGAGGTGCTTCTGGAATACAACAGAGCTGAGCAGGTCGGGTGCGCAGGGAGAGGAAGGGGATATAAGCCTCGTGTCTTACCAGCCGTATCAGCACCTGTTTCTAAGGCAGTGCATAAAACGATAATGCCATCCCACGTATGTTAATGTAGTCTGTGGTGGTGACCACCAAGGACTGACAAAGTTTGCGTCAGGCAGAGAACGCTAGCAATGTGTTGACGTAGCCCAAGTGAACCAACTTTAAGAAAACTTTCTGGGTTTGTTTGTTGGGTTGGTTGGTTTGTTTGTTTGTTTTTGGTTGGATTTTTTTTTTTTTGCCTGGCAAACTGAAGGGGATTCCAAGACAGTTTGTGAAGGAAAAATACATTTAATGGAAGTCCTTCAGAAGCTGTTGAATGGGCTGGAACCACTCAGTGCAGTTAACAGCAATTCTGGACGAGCAAACTAGTTTCCAGGAGGTTTAGCAGGTTGCTTTTTAACATAGAAGGAGCAGTCTTCAGGTCTGCCTGTGCTGTCAGTCATTCCTACCTTGCTGCCCCTTCCATGGAAGCTTGGATCCATACCCAAATACTCAGTGTTTCTGGATAATGTTGCCTATATAAAAGTACATCTTTTGTCTCATTTCTTTGCATTATTATGAGAAATTCAAGTTCTGAAAACACCAACAAAAACCCCAACTTTACGTAGGTAAACTATCATTTTAAACCAAGTTATGAGGTTTTGTCACAGAAGTCTTTATCACATTGGGGCATTTTCTGGGGAAACTTGAGCTGCATCTTCAAGTTTGTGTTAATTTTTAAGAATAATGAGCTACACCTCATTTGTAACTGTGTCCTCTAAATTAACAGAATTCTGTAGCAGGATGTTCTTGGAAGCATTATGGATGAAGAGGCAGCAGGAAGGAGATAAATTCTTACCAAAAAAAGTATTGGTTTACATATCGGGGTGTAGCAGCTTCTCTTTTTTAGCAAGGAAATGCTCCTTGTCCATTGCCATAAAGCACTATCTGCCCTTAAGTTGTGTGCGGAAATGCGCTGTTGGATGTAAAATTCCTTCAGAAGTTCAGTAGTTTTGAGTGCATTTCCACTTTATTCAGTAAATATCACTCTTAATGGAACTATGCATAGCTCAGGCTTTGCAAATATTACATTCCTGTCTGCTGTTTTGTCATGATCATTTAAACCCACATGTGAGTTGTTGCTTGGATTTTTATTACGTTAACAGTAACTGTTTTACTGTGCTAGTTGGTTAACTGTTTTCTAAAATAGAAGTGGGAAAAGTATGCCTGTATTTCTCTATTCAGAACTGTGTAGAAGCCAGATGTTCAATGTCATTAATGGAAGCTCTGAAACATAAAAAGCTAGGAAACATGTGTTACCCAGTATCCGTAACAAAGGGGGAGCTTGCTAGTTTTACTGTTGAAGTAATGAAGTGCACAACTGATCCAGCAACAATTGTTTTGTAATATCCATATATCATTTTTAAAAGGACCAAAAGACTTACTGTGGATGTGATACGAACACAGCCAGGGGATACGCTTTTAGAAATATTAGAAATACCAGCCACTGCACAACAGGTAAGTGCTATACTGTGCCTGAATATGGAAGAAAGTACATATTTTATTATAGCTATTTGAAAGCCTTAAGAGGCTCTGACAGCTTTTTCTACCACGTTATAATGATGAAATCATTGTTGCTGGTTTTAGACTATTCAGATCTAGAGCCTTGAAAAATGTGAGACTTGCAAACTTTCTTTCATTTCATAACTGGTAACAGCTTCAGATGAAAAGAAAAATGAAGTCTTGCTGTCAACTAGCACAACTAGAATAGTAATTTTTTTCTTTTACATTTTTTGTGAACAGGGTCTTTTCTCTCCTATGCTATAATAAAATCAAATAGCCTGAGGGTGAATCTTTCTGCTAGATTTTTTTTTTTTCTCATGAAATTCAGTATCTTAACTCAAGTTCCCTGACACCTAGTTTATTTGCTTAAGCAATACAAGCAAACATCTGCCTGGGAAACTACTGCTATCCTTGGTATGAGAATTGAGTGGGAAGATCTCCCAGTGGATACCGACACACAAAGCTACATCTCAATGTGCACATTTTAGCTCACCTCAGTGTGCAAGTATGTATTTAGGGGACACCTGTGACATTTGGACAGTCTTCCCACAACGAAGTGAAGTCATTGAGTTGTCTGGATCTTTTTAGACATGTTTTTAATTGAAATACACCCCTAGGTGTTGTGATCAGTTCCTTAACATATATCAAAAGGCATAGTAGATGGAGCATTTTAAACCATGTGGTGAGAGGATATAAAGCAAGCCTATACTTTCATTCTTGATAATCTCCTTTGACAATTCAATGTACTTGAAAACTTAACTGTTATCGTCAGCTGGAAAATAACTGTTCCAGATATTTTTTGCACCCAGGAATCTGCGCACTTGAAACTTGTAGAAAAACGTGCCATCTTGGATTCCAAAACTCCAGAGAAAATGAAGCACAGTCAGTCTATTTTTGAAGATGGGCAGCTACCAATAGAACAAAAGAAAAGGAAAATTCAGAGAAATCTCCGGACATTGGAACAAGCAGGACTAGTGTCTTCAGCAACTAAGTACCAAGAAATTATAAATGAGATTGCCAAGGTAAATGGAACATGCTTCCCTGTATATTGATGGATTTTACGTGTCTAGCCTAAATCCATTTCAGCTAGAGATATACAATATACATTTACTAGAGAATGCTACACTAAGTCACTGAAGTATACACACAAGAAACACATAATCTTTGTTTGCTGACAAAAAAAGTGAAAGAATATTTTCATGCATAACTACCTGAACTGAATAGCATACAACTGTAGACTTTGTTATCCAGATTTGATATGGTCACTAGTTTAACTTCTCCGGTACAATGTGTTTCAGTATCGCTTTTTATATATATAAAGGAATCAGAATTATCCATTACCCATCAGTTTTTCAATTAATCATTAATGTAGTCTTGATAAAGTTTAAAAATACCTTAAAAAACTCCAAAAGATGCTGTGATTTGTATTAACAACGATCTGCAGTGGTTGGGTAGGACACAAGGAGAATGGTGGGTCAATGCAGTGCCCATCCTGGGGTTGATAAAGCACTGGGCCTGTTGTGTACAAATCAGCAAATCCTGTTCCAAATCCACACCCAATACTGGCTGTAAGAATCATAGTGTATTGGATTATCTTTAATTACTCATGAGTAATATTGGATTATCTTTAATTACTCATGAGTAAATTACTCATAGCTCACATGAGTGATTTACATATTATAAATATGTATCTTTTTAAAGTTGCAAATATACTTGAATATATAAATGAGTAAATTACTCATGCGAGCTAAGTCTCTAATATAATTAGAGTATGCCATCTTGCACCTACTCTGAAGTGCCGTTTTAAAGCCCTGCTCAGTTCAGATGTCTGCATCTGCTTCTACCTGAGACAAAACCATTCTACATATGTATTCGGTGCCCTATTTTTTATTTCTTCTCTATAAGCCCAGATGCTTTGTTCTGAACTGTTACAGCAATTTGAAGATTGGGATGAGCCTTAAGACTCGAAGTTTCTTTTGTTTTAATTTTGACTACCTCAACTCAACTGTTACCTTCAAACCAAACTCTAGTTTAGCAGTAGCTAGTTCTTACCTGTTAGAAGCTCAAGCTCTTGTTTCTTAGGCTTCTAACCAGAAACTAGCTATGAGAAAGCTTCCATTTATAGCATGAAGATGACGTCTTCCTTATGACTTCTGTCTGTCATGCCCTGGAGACAATAGCAGAGTTCAAGATGTCACCACTTGTATACATGAGTAGCAATGTGACTGTCTTCTGTACAGTGATGTAAACTGTAGTACTCACTACTGGTACTGGGCTTGTAAGAACCAATGTGAATGTTTGTGCTTTCTCCCAGTAATTAAATCAGGTTGCCTAGTTACAAATTTGAATGGTAATAAGCTGAGACTTTTTAAAATATCAAATTAATAAACCAGTTACCTTAATAAATTTATTTAGGATATCCGGAATCAAAGAAGATACAGACATCATCGAAAAGCTGAATTGGTGAAACTCCAGCAGACTTTGAATGCGCTTAACTCGAAGACAGCATTTTATGAAGAACAAATTAATTATTACAACACCTATATAAAAACTTGTTTAGACAACTTAACAAGAAAGTGAGTTGAGTCGTCTTGTCTTTCAATATTTCACTGTATTTTATCAGGAGGGGAGAGCAGGTGTTAATCAGTATTTGAAAGTTTTGATCCCAAAAGATTGACAGTCCACAGGTTGAAAAGTCTATGGGAGTTGTCACTATGACCCAAGACAAAACCTGAAAAGCAAAGTCTTGCATTTATTTAAAGCTGCCTTACGGAAAGAGGCCTGAGATGGATACATGTTTTCAGTGTATTTAATTGGTGATACTTTGCAGATCCATTAGCATCTTTTGAAGTCATGCAGCTTTGGGAAGTAATTATTGATTTTCTTCCTTCACTAAAAGGACTGGTTTTGTCTTTAGAGTGGAATAGAGGGAAATATATGCCTAAAGAATTTTACTTTTCAGATACGATGCAGTTACTTGAGAGTAAGCCCCCCCTGCCAATGCCACCGAAGTGTCAAAATGAAAACATTTTACTGATATGAACAGGAGCTTTCCCAGCACATACCTCATTGATCCAAAAATGAACTCTGATGGCCTATCTTATTTAACACCTCTGTCACTGTATTGTTTTAACACCTGTGTACACTATTTTAAAGTGGCAATTGTGGACTGTCTTGGATCAGGGCTGCATTTCACAATAGAGTTTAAACTCTAAAAAACTCTAAAAAATGTTGATTCAAAATCACTGCCAAAATGTTTAGACTATTCACTGTGTGCTAAAATTCCCTCTAATTCATAATTTGTTTTGAATGTTAACTCTGTTGATTAATAGAGTTCAAGAAGGCAAAGAGTGAAGGAAAGCTAAATATGGCTAGAAGAGTAGCTGAAATATAAAAGACCTGGTAGATAAATCAAAAGCCATTTTTCTTGTTCTCTTCCCAGAAATTCACGGAGGTCAATTAAACTAGATGGAAAAGAGGAGGTGAAGGGAAGCAAAAAGCTGAAGCAGGCCTCATTAAAGTACACAGCTGCAAGACTTCATGAAAAAGGTGTCATCCTAGAAATTGAAGATCTTCAAACCAACCAGTAAGAGCATTTTCTAATCAACAGCTTCTTAGCCTGACTTTTGTTAAAAGAAATCTTCACAATTTCCTGTCACACCTAAAATTACCTCAGACTTTTACATTCAGAAGAATGATAAAGCCTAATTGTCATAACTCATGTTTTCCCTTGTACCTTGCTATATATGATGACCTTGGGAAAATACTTGAATTAGTCTACCTTGGCATTAGCTTAGATGGAACCAGTACAAGTACGGCAGCACACCCACTGCTAATGACTGACTTGTTAAGCAGTTGTAGCAGGTTGGTGTTTTTTTCATTTACTGACCAATAACTTTCATATATCTGAGTAAACACTTGGTTTTACTCAGATAAGAGCCTTCCTCTTCCACTTTGACAAGGTGAATGGATGTGGTGGTGTAACATCCCTTTTGTATCTATCCATTTTGAGGCCACTGTAGTGAAAAATCTTCCATCCCCTGCACCCTTCCACTCATCTTCTGCATAGATAAAAGCTTTCTAGGTTGCAGTTGTTTTCCAAGTGGATTCATCAGACAGAGGAAGCCACATGTGGCAAACTGAAACCAGAGAAGAGTGCGTATACACCTGCAAGGAGGCACTCAGGCCCAGAAGAATGAAAATCTGGCTGCTCTGTTTCTGTGCTTTGGACGCTTGGTCATCTTTGTTCCCTGAATCTCCCACTGATATAAAAAGCTTGAGTGCCCTGTATTCCATACTATATGTACACCAGAAAGTCTCCAAGAAGACATTGTGGTTCATTTGACACCATTTACACTGCTTACAGTCAAAATTCTTTTGTGTTCTGCAGGCTTTTTCCCAAAAACTGTCTCTGGACTATATAAAACTGCACAGCATACGTAATCAATTACCCTTATTTTTGTTTTGAGGTTTAAGAATGTGATGTTTGATATCACACCTGGAGAAGAAGTGGGTGACTTTGAAATCAAAGCAAAATTTTTGGGGGTTGAGATGGAAAAAGTGCAGCTTCATTTCCAGGTAGAGTTTGAATTTTGTTACTTTGCTATATAGTCACTGTTGCATTTCCTCTAAATATAAACTATTTCAGTTTTTTAATATGTTTTCATGAACTATTCCATCAGCAATGAGCAGCAGATTATGTGGGTAATAACTACATAACTTCTGTAGGATGCTGGGCGTGGACTTGAGCCTAATGGTTATATTAGGCCAGCTCCATGAAACCAAATGCCACATTAATTCAGTGGCAAGCAGCAAATACCAAAAGAAAATGAAAATACAGAGAAAACAGTATTTCTTCTTGTTTGCTGTTACTGACAGTCTACAACTTTGGATCTAGAGGACACGTAGTGTTTTCTATACCTATCCAATAATTGCTTGTAATTGTTTAAATTGTGAAAGACCTTGAACTTGAGATGGTTATCACATGATGAAAATTACTCCATTTTATTGCTGTATGGTATGGATTCAGACAGAGACTAATGATTTTACTTCCGATTACAGGATTTGCTTCAGATGCAGTATGAAGGTGTGGCTGTAATGAAAATGTTTGACAAAGCTAAAGTGAATGTGAATTTGCTCATATTCTTATTGAACAAGAAGTTCTATGGAAAATGAGTGTCTTCAGATATCATGGACTGCATCCATCATTCGGAAGTCTATTCAGTATTTTTTGCTTTTACGCATTTGTTTGAAGTTTGTTGTTGGACGCTTTTAACTAAAAAAACCCTAAAACACCAAATGTTCAGAGGAATGTACACAGTGCCTTTTCAGCATTGATAATGAAGCAGAAAAATAGGAAATAGATTAGTTTAAACAGTTCCAGATTGCATTGGTGTTGGTACTTTCAAATCAAAATGTTGTTTAGGACACTCAGCTGTTATTGTGGTTGTATGGATTTTAAGCTAGGCAGAAATTGAATTTAGCTGAATATATAAACCTCTTCCTATTAAAACATTTTTACATGACCTCAGATACATTATATAGTTCTTATTAGGCTTTAAGTATTTACCAAAAGAAACCCTAATTTGTTTTTAAGGGATAGTTTGGGCAAATATTTAGTTACATACTAAGCCTATTTTCTGGCAGTTGTCAATTGTAAAGCAAACTTACTGTGCAATTCAAAAATTTTTATAGGTAATTATAAAGTGACAATAACATCTTGCTGTACAAAAATATATTTTGTGATTCATTCCTACTAAATGCACTACTGCCTCATGTAAAACAACATTTTCTACTTTCACAGCCTTTGGAGTGGCATTGGGGAAAATCTTCAGAGTGAACAGTTGTTCAGTTTGAAGTATTTGAATACGTAAATTGTGCCTGTCTGTCTTTTTTTGTAAGAAAATAAATGCAATAAAATCAGTATTTAGGTTTTTTTAAATATTCTTTGGAGATTGTTCTATATAAAATAAACATTACCTAATTAAACTGGCTTTGTTCCTAAATTTCATATAAGAGTCATTAAAGCAGCAATCCACATGGTAGTGAAAGAACTTCTTTCAGTGGTTTTATAAAATTGAATCTAATTAAGCTGGACTGTCCTCACAGTACACTTTGGGAAGGTTGCTCAGCAATGAAGACTTCACTGCCTTTATGCCATTGAATGTGATGATGATTTTGCTGATGGAACTACCAACTACCTCCACAGAGCAGAAATGTGTACAGTAGGTAATGTGAAATACATAAACAAAGAGAAAATATTTCCTACTCTCACTTTCCTCATGACAAATGTTTTAAAAGATTGGACAGTGACGCATTTTGGAATGCATTGTAAAAGCAAGTATTAAACAAATATATTCTGAAGATGGAGTCAGCAAGTGTAGAGTCAGTGGCAGATATACAGACTACGAGTTTAGTTGGTATACTGACTTGTGGTATTATAGAAGCTGAAAAAATTCTTACATTTACTAGAGATATTTATACATGGCATTAAATTCAAACACTTGACTATTTTGAAATGGCTAATATCCCTAATTAAAACAGCTCCTACACGCTTCCATTTTTCTTCTAGCTCATTATGTTTAAGCAATTTTAACATGACACAAATGCTGCAGTATTAATACTCTGACTTAAAATAGCTGGATGGGAAGGCAAAAGCAGCACTTTACTTCTGAAGGAGAAAAGTGAATTGTACTTGAGTATGAATTAAACTCACAATCTTTTTGTTTCCCTTTTTATTTGTAACAGATTTTACTAATCCCTGTGTATTTTTGGCAAATTCTAGCTGAGCAGGTAAATCTGCACGGGCGGGATGTCGATCCGAAGACCAGACCTTTGGGGTAATGTGTCAACAGCCTGGAGTTCTGCTGGTGTGGCATACTAGAGCCCTACAGCGTCTGTGGGAATAAGTCACTCCTGGATATGCTGTCTGTGTAGCGCACTTGACACATCTAGTGACTGCTTAGTTCCAATACAAACAGCACGTTCCTCAGTTATTTCCTGAGATATGCAAGCTTAGGAAAGCTTATTTGGTTCCCAGGTAATGACATGTATGAAAGGCACAGTCTGTGTGCCAGCAGTCACCTTCTCCAACCATTTCTTGGGCTTGCTGTTCTTCTAGTGCACGTCAAAGAGTCACCTCCATTTAATTTCTTTGAACTCCTTTAGAAGCTTTTTTTCTTGATTAACTAGTTCAGTTTAGGGCCTTGTGACTGAACAAACAATGAACCCTGCTAAACAGGACTGATGACAATGATTCCATCCTAAATATAAGATTGATGGTAGTACCAAGTACCATGCAAATGAGCAAAGTAATTCTGTGTGCACCCACTCCTGTCCTACGCTGCTGACAGCTACTAAATAGAACAAAAAGGAAAGGCTTTTTGGAGGCTGCCGTAAGCTGCAACTTAGGGTCTTCAAAGTTAGAGAGGACTTGCTGAAACCAGTTTCATTCATGAAAACAGTCTTGTGGAAAGGCTTGCATCGCTGGTGCAAAACCTGAGGAAAAAGCCAGTACAGATGAATAGAGTCTACGCATCAGTTGTCACCACAGGAGAAAATGCAGCTTTCCTTGAAAGACATGCCTGTGTCTCAACTTTATCTTTCTTAAATGGTGGTAGTGAAAAGAAATTATAATAGCCAATAGTCTGTTAGCCCCGCAGTTTGCTTATGTCTTTAGAGTTGTCTAAGAGTGCTTGGCAGCTGCCTTAGTTTATTTTGGAACTTCTCCACCCTGACAGGGCTCTGAAGCTCCAAAACTATCCACAAAATTGCACACCAACATCTATCTTCTTTGGTCATGCAGACAGAAACGGTCACAAGCAATAGCTCTGTTCTGTTTCACTTTGCACTGCTCTGCAAACCTTTAGCTGCCTTTTTTTAAAAGAACACCAGAGCAGTACAACAAACTTCCCTCCAACAGCAAATCCAGAGTGTGACAGTCACCTTGGATTTCAAGGCATTCGTAACTAGACAGACAGCCCTCTTTCTGGAGGACCGATCTCGCCTCTCAGATATGCTTCTGACCTCATCCTCTTCGAGCAGTAACTACTTGCCCTAGGCACACACCAGGGTAATGTTTGTATCAAACAGCAGAAAGATGGCTCCTTCCCCAAACAGTAATGATGCAGCAATCTCCCTAGTTAGTTGTAGGCTTTTTTGGTAGACCTAGTGTGTTTAGCAGGAATGAAGTTTTGTCCTGTCACATGCTTCAGTCAAAAAACAAAGCTCTGAAAAAGGTGCAAGAAGTAGAATTAAAAAGTGGTAACTGGTGAAAGCTTTGGAAGTCATGAACTCTTCACCTCCATTACAACCAGTTTATATAGAGAGAGAGTAGCAAGCTGAATTGTATAACTACAGGATACAAAAGTTAACTTACATATGGTTCCCATACGCAGACAGAAAATTTAAAAAAAATGGGGTTTTTTTTATTCACTCGCTCTTTAATAATCTAGTTTACGAAGATGAAAGGACACAGCCCTATGACTGTTCCTTACATCTGCAGCTAAGGTACTCCCTGCAGATAAAATCTGAGTTTCCCTTTGAATCTTTCACAAATGCGGTAGACTGGTTTATCCCTCAACCACCGGCCTACTGGTTAGGGCTTCTTGAAACTTAAGAAATACAAATACTGAAAATGTATTTGTATTTCTTAAGTTTGAGGTCTGGTATAACATTTACAAATACACATTTATTTTAAGAAAGCTTTCTATTTTGGGTTTAGAAACTTTGAAGTGTTACCTTTGGGTATGCTTATAGAGCTGTGAGACCACAGGAACGCCCAAGAATAGCTTCACTTTCTCTTCCCAAATAGATGAATTTATCTCTGACTAAGGTATTTTCTAAACAGGTGAAGAATAGTTTGTGATAAAGTGTAAGGTGGTTTGTGTGGGTTCTCTAGTGCGTTTGGAGCGACAGCTGTAGAAAGGCTGGCTGGCTGTAAAACTTATTACTGTATTTATTACTTGTCCTTACTCTATGCAAACTGGAGGCAGCCTTAACAGTGCTATGATGCAGAAAGTGGTAGGACTGTGGGGAGAACATCACAGAGATGTAGAACTTACTGGGAACCAGTACATGTGATCAGGAGCACTTCTTTTCCACGGTTTTCACTCTGAGTTAAGAGCAAAGGTCACTGCTGCTGCAGTAGTCAAGGCACCACATACATATGAATAGGTTCTAAATGGAGCTTCCCCACCGTCCCCTCCTTTTTGTCTCCATTGCTTTAAGCAAAAGGATATGCAGCTGAGGATGGGGCAGCACACTGTAGCAAACCAAGGGGTGTCCACTTGTGAAGCTTGTGACTGTGCTCCAGGCCTAAGAAACACAAAGCGCTCAAACCACCGGTGGATTGAGGAGCAGCTACGCAGGGCAGAGCAAGCTTTGGGGCCCACGGCACGTCCCACCGGCGCTGGGGAGCAGCACCCCTTCCCGAGGGCCTGGCAGGGGCCGGCGCCAGGACCGCACGGCTGGGAAACGGACGGCTTTCAGCCCGTCC